CACACACACACACACACACACACACACACACACACACATATATATATATATTCACATACAAATTTGATCTTCAAAAGAATAATGTTTATCAGTATTCAAACTTTCTCGCTTTATCTGAATATTTGAACTAATTCAATTATTACTAAGTTTTCTGTATTTATTCGTTTTCTTTTGCCAAGAACAATTCTTCACAGGTTTGCGACCACAAAATCTCGGCTTGAAAAAGTTTTATCACTTTGATGGAAATTAAAATAGTTGAGATAGCTTTAATTCTTTAGACCCTAGAACAAGATAACAGACTTTACGTCTAGAAAAATATTATATTTCTGCTTATCAATAATTGATTAGAATATTTCTAGGAATAATTTTATGGCGACACAGTCTTATATTGAGCTACAACAACAACTTAAACTGTTTTTATTTCAAACTCCTTTCTCACGAGGATATAAGCTAGGAATATTTCTGTGTTTTGATGTTTTTTGATTGAGCTAAGAAGATTGTTTTAACGTGTAGACGTTGGCTTTTACACTGAGCTAGAACAATAAGGCACGATTCTTTATTTATGCTTTTTTCTAAAAAATATTTTCCGAGATATCTTTCAAGTATCCTCTGAAAAGAATCTTTAAAATTTGAAGGCCCAGTTTCAATTAAGTGGTTGATTTTTTGTTTTGACTAAAAATATGTTTTTCATCCATTAAAGCCGAGTTTCATGATATTATAATTTCCACCTTTGCATCCAAAGCAATTTTTTTTCTTTAAGTGATTACAGACTTATCCAGTTAGAAGTAGAAGTTGAAAGCATAGCTCTTAATTTTTTAAAGACGGCTTCATTTTGTCACTTGATGATGAATAGTGAAGCTCTAAAAGCACCTCTTAAAATACCGGATTAACCTGTAAATCCAGTTACTGTAATCAATTATGGGGCATCACAAATTATCTGAATCAGAAAATAAACCAAATCTCCCTAAAGCCTGAGAAATTACTTTCAATATTGATTCTACATGAAGTGAATAGATGAATGGTGAAATAGTTCTTCATTTGAGTGTTGCGTCTTTAATTGATATTTATAATTTTGACGTTGCCATCAGGCTTTAGGTTGTGACTATTCAATTTTTTTCGATAACGATGCTATTACTCTTGCGAGTTGAGTCTGAATATTTAACTGGATTAACAAAAACTAATTATTTTTCGTAATAGAAAATATTTCGAATCGTTTATCGGTTCACCATGTCAACGACGCCATATTCGATTACATGCTAACACAGGTAGCCAAAGCGAATATGTATACATTCAATTCGAAGGAAAGAAAGCGGCCCTTTTTGCTCAGATTCCGAGACATGCTTTAAATTTTTAATTTCTTAATATTTTTTGTTAATTTTGCTGATGATTTTTTCCTAATGAGATTTTCGTATATTACAACCTCCAGTGCGTTGTGTTCAATGATCGATCGTAACTTTTTGCACCGACGATGTATAACTCCGGATCTGAGCAAAGATTGCTCAGCCTTTAATGGGACGGCCAGTGGTCATATATTCACTTTTAGTATGTTCAGACTAAAGCGATCAATGTAGAGCCAATCTTTTATTTCTTTTTTGAGATCTCTATTGAGTTCGTTTTCAATTGAAGGCATTTGAGTGTTACTAGTTGTTATACTCGTATCGTCTGCATACAAACTAAGAGTAGAGTGAAGTAGGGAACCAGATTAATCTTTTTTATAAAGGAGAAACAAAAGTGGTCCAAGACTTGATCTCTGTGGTACCCCACAGGTCATCATCTCACTATCGGATATGGTAACATTGATTTAACAACGTTGTATATATGAATCATTTACTTCCAATGGGGTATACAATTGTTAGTTCTTCTTAATAATAATTATATGTATTAATCTATCTTTATTAACGACGTTCAGTTCTTAGTTGTAACGACATGTATATCCATATACGGTATATATGTATATTTATATGTATATATGTGTATACAGTGTTTGTCTGTCTGTGTGTTATGACAGTGTGTTATGCTACCCGGCATATAGTGATGAGAACTGTTACTTTTGTATATTTTAGTATCAAGAATCAATGCTATGTTGTTGGTATTCTTTTTGATTGACAGCTATCAACAGTACAAACTTGACCGACGGCATTGCCTTTCCAACAGACGAGGTTAAAGTTTACGATCTGGAGAGTGAGTGCCAGATTGACCTTCTTTGACTTTCTTTTTTTTTTACTCTTGCTATTGCACTTCATTCTTGCACTTTTTTTAAACAATTAACGTTTTGCTTTTTAATATCTTTTAATGGCATATTCAATAATACATGCTTGAATGATTTGCATAATTGTTGCATGCACAAATCGTTACTAACTATAACATTCCTTCAGTTAACATGTAGTAATTCACTTAAACATGTATACGATTAATGCACGATTTTGTTATAAATTAATGATATTATATTTATCTTATTCATTCTAGTTGTTTTCCCTTGTCTCTCCTCAGTACCCTTTTTTGCAGCCTCTCTGAAACTTCATTCCTTTTTCCTTTTTCACCTTATTCTACTCTATATCCATTGTGCATATACGACTCTATACTCTTTTCATAGTTCTCTACCGTGTACATTCTATTCCTCATTCCTTTTTTTACTTTTCTATTCAACTCTCCATCCTTCTTTCGTTTCCTCTATTTCCCTTGTCTACTATTTGTTCTATTCTCCCTTTTCTTTTTTCTTTCTAGCATCTTCACCATCTTCACTATCTTCTTACTTTTTCCTTGCATCGTTATTATCATATTTTCACAATTCATTTTAGTCTTTAATCGCTTTTAATGTACTTGCCTTGCATATAATATTGCAATAACCCCTAATATGATAATAAAGGACAAATATTTAAGAATAGTTTGAAATGGGAAGAAAAGAGCATGGAATCTGTCGGTTTATTTTGAATTCAAATTATGAAAAATATACGCGCAGTTGCAAAATCGTTGTCGTGTACAAAACAAAGAAGAAAAAAATGAGGCCGAAAGGTATTCTGGGAAATGACATACTTATCCTCTGATGTATTCATTTGAGTTGCATGTGTTAGAAACCTCCATACTATCTGTCAGTGCAACAATTAATGAGCATTCCATGATCCACGAGTTCTATCACTAGATACTTCTAATAGTCTCCTTCACACTTCCCTGCGTCATCTTGAAAGGTAGCCGTGCCTTTGCATCGATGCGAGACGAACGGTGAGCTTGCAATGATAGAGACCGTTTTAAAACACCTTAGACAATTATTCGCATGTCTCTATCATTGCAAGCTCACCGTTCGTCTCCCTTCGATGCAAAGGCATGGCTACCTTTCAAGATGGCGCAAAGAACTGTGAAGGGGACTATTAACATACTTCCATGTACCATTTTGGTCTCTGCTTCTATGTTCTATGTTTTCGAACCCAGTAATGGTTGCATTTCAGTGTATATTTTTATCATTTGTTATTCTTTAAGTATCACACGACTGCATGTGACAAAGACAACACATATATCACACAAAAAAAAAAAAAAAAAAAAAAAAAAAAAAAAAAAAAAAAAAAAAAAAACACGCAATAATAATATAAAATTTCAGAAACATAAAAACCAAAACAGAAATGTCATCGCTCAATACGAAAATAAAGAAAACTTTGAGTTATTTCCATAATTTATAATTATCCTGGACAACATGTAGGTAATCTCAAAAGCATTGTCAGTTGTAAGAAATGATGAATTAATTACCTAACGTGACAGAAGAGAGGTGTAGCTCGGGAATTGGGTAAAGCATTTGCCGGGGTGTTTAAAGTAATTGGTTATATGTCACGGCTTTTTTGATTCATACAATTTCGTGACATTAGATAAAATTTTACGTCTACATATACCATCCTTGCTTTTATTATTGTTATCATTATTATTATTTATTTCGTCATTTAGCCAGTGGCAAATAAACTTGTGGCCCTCCTTCCATGATCGAATTGGAATTCAGGAGTTGATTTTTGTGGAGGGAGGAAAACCGGAGAACCTGGAGAAAAACCCTCGAAGCACAGAAGAGAACCACCTAGAAATTGTACTCACTTACAACATCGAACCCGGCGGGACTCGAACCCGGGTCGCATTGCATTGATGAGAGGCAAGCGCTCTCACCGGCTGATTCATCCCATGCTTCTCCCCCCAAAAATGGTGTCTACTAATTGTTGTATGTGTAAAGTGCATTGTGGGACTGTTTAGGTGACGAAATAGACGCCATCTTGAAAATATGTACCCTACAACAATCCCGCAATGCTCTGGAATTCCAACTCGACCCAGTTTCCCTCCCTCAAACTCGGAATTATTCATGACGGCTGAGTTAAGTTGAAGTGAACTAAATACTACAGTGTAAAAATTTATCGATAATTTGACCAACTGCATCCAAGGGTATTGTTCATTTTGCTATAATCAAGAAAGGTTGAAAAAACACCTGTTACTTCCTTCAATTAGCTAAACTTATAATTATATATATAAATATATTTAATGTTGACTTTTGTAGTGATGGTTTTCAACCATTCCTAAGAGAATTAAATAAGAAAAGACACGGCGGCCATGTTGGAGGATATAACAAAAAAATTCATTGACAATTCTTAAGTTCCTCCAACATGGCCGCCGTGAAAACCATCAATAATTAATTCCCACTTAAATTTTATACACCAAATTGTTTTTCATATTAACGATATTATTTATCATGCATTCTCTAAAAAGTCGTCCGAGTCTCGCAATCTTTTGTAAGTTTCATATGGTTTTTAGTTTGTTGGTTTACTGATTACTTAACACACTTTTCGTCGCTCTTTGTATATCAGCTAGCATGGCCGCATATTGCTATGTTCTTTACATTAATTCATACCGTACTTCACTTTTTACCATGTGAGCTATTCACTATGTAAATAAGATCTGTTAAAGCCCCCACACTGCACGCAACAAACAGGCGTTGTGCATCAAAGCTCACAAAGCAAACACTGGGAAACCGAGCACTTCAAAAATGAAACAGGGAAATCGTAGGAACTATCAGAAATAAAGCACTCTTGTCCCCCGTCTGTCGAAATACTTCCATTTCTATTAAAAACGTCAAAGTAAAAATTGCCAGATTACAGTCAAATTATTTTTTTGAAGAGCTGAAAAAGCTTAAGTACTCGGTTTCCCATCATGCTTCGTGCTTATGCACATTGGCACCTATTCGCCTCTTCGCCTGTTGCGCGTAACATTGCCGGTAAGACGGATGCTGAAATGGAACAAGAGCTACTACGACTAAATTGCACATCAATAGACCAGTTTAGAATTCCAAGTTACCGCTGTGTTCCTTGATTACAGACTCATTTACACAGGGTTAGCCTCGTATCAGTGTTTAAATATTCACAAATACCAACGGTAAAGTAAAGAATGCACAACTTCAACAATAAAAACACTTTGAAACTCGACGGATCTTGACTGGAACACGTAAATATTCTGCACAAACTCGAGGCTAACCCTGTGCAAGTGAGTCTGTAATCAAGAAACACAGCGGTAATTTGGAATTGAAAGGGGTCTATAGACCTCTTTAGCTTCGTATGCAAATTGGCCATTCCAGAAGACATGACATTCCCTTGAGAATTGTTCTTTTTTGATGATAATGTGAACCAAAATGTTGGGCATTGTTACGGCATCGATTGCCTTAAAATATTATATCGACATTTTAAATTTAAAAGCGGAAAGATGATACTGAGCCAATAGTCCCCTTCACAGTTCCCTGCGCCATCTTGAAAGGTAGCCGTGCCTTTGCACCGAAGCGAGACTAACGGTGAGCTTGTAATGATAGAGACCTTTTATTAACACCTTGGACAATTATTCGCTTGTCTCTATTATTGCAAGCTCACCGTTCGTCTTGCTTCGATGCAACGGCACGGTTACCTTTCAAGATGGCGCAGGGAACTGTGAAAGGGACTATTCTGCTTTATTTACATTGTGGCATGCAAAACTAGAAACTTAGTATTTTCACTTTGTGTTTTATCTTTGTGTTAATTGTATACACATATGGTGGTTTAATAGATTCTCAACAAGACGATGACGAGCTTAAACTGGTCAAGGACTTGTTCCTCAGCGGATATAACAAGAACGTCAGACCCGTTGAAGACAAGAATCTGCCAGTAGAGGTGAAGTTTGGTATTGCTTACACACAGATCGTAGACTTGGTAAGTTCAAAAAACATTTTTCAATTCATTTAACTGAAATGTAATTAAGCATGGATTTCAATTACTGTAATCAACTTGACGCAAGATGTGGAAACATGAGATTGTGTAATATGCGCTGCTAGTGTTCCCCTTCTCATTACTGCAATCATGGATTTCTTCCCTATAGGCTCTGGGTTTTTTCTGGGTCCTCTGTTTTTTCCCTCCACTTTAAAAACCAACACTTTCTTCAGAGGTACGCTGTAATGAACCAATACTGTAACATTGTCCGTGCCATTACGAAAATGATGAATCTAACAAGCTGAAACCAGAAACTTATAATCTTATAACTTATGAGTTTCTGCTGGAACATTTACCTAATCTTAAATGGGAACACAGCGGATAAACTGTGGACTGACGGATCAAATACACTACTGGAAGATATTATGTACGTGTTTGTATATGAAGTTTCTTTATCTATTTTCTTTATAAATTTAGATTGAGAAAGATCAAGTTTTAGAAAGTAACATTTGGGTTCGTATGGTAAGTGAGGATGTATTACTTGCATTCAATGTGTCAAGCTTCAATAAATCTATTTTCGTTACAAATACTAGTCTGAAGACTTTCTTGGAAAGAAGAGATCGTATCTAGTCTAACTCCTCTTCACTTAACTCTACCCCCAAACAAATCATTATATTGAAATATATATCTAACGATTTTATTTAAAAAACCTTGTTACACGAGACAACTTTTCTAGCAGCTTGCAATGCAATGCTGACGAACGCAGTTGCAGGTGAGATGTCAGACGCGCGAAACTCTCTTCACAACTTGCAACGCAACGCTTTCTTGGTCTGCGTTATGTCAGCGGAGATATGGAAGAGCTGCGCTCTAATTGTTTACTTGTGATAGTAATAGCATAATTGTATGTTGCGGGATAGATGTTACACGCTCCAACTTGCTTCGCAACGTTGCGAAAAGTAGAAGCTAAACTTTTTCTGCAATTTGCAACGTTGTATTGCGCAAAGTTAATTTATGATGTTTCGTGCTAATTACTTATTCAGTGAGAATAGTAGCTTACAGTTATACCCACAGCACACGGGCAGAACATTCACTCGTTTGAATCAAGAACATAATATTTGATTATTCCGGATTATATCTTACGTCCATAGAAATGGCAGAACCATCTTCTCAAATGGAATTACTCAGAATATGGTGGCATCAAAGCTATTAATATAACACCTCTCCTGATGTGGCTACCGGATATTGTGCTTCATAACAAGTATGTCAACTATTATATAAACTATTGTATATTTTATATAACTATTCTTCACTTGAAGATATAATTAGCTAAAAACTAGTGTGAGCTGCATCGGTGTTTCTAATGAAACAGTAATGATGAAAAGGTAAATTATACGCCGTGATTATACACTTCTTTTCACGGTGTATAATTTACCTTTTCATCATTACTATTCTTCACTTGTATATATATATATATATATATATGATTTTTTTCTTTTATGGACTGCAAGAAGGGGTCCTCCCCGCGCTACATAAAACTTCGGAAAAACGAGAAAAAATAAAGATATTCCTCTGTAGAGTTGGCACTTTAAACATCCCTCCCCCTTAGTAACTACCCTTCCATAAACGCAAATAACAATCAGTTATATTTTGCATTCAGTGCTGAAGAAAATCTTCCCAGTGGTACACTTGACCAATTTAAGACCAAAGTCCAGTTAAACTACAAAGGAGAATGCACTTGGTATGCGCCCACCATCCTACGCAGCGGCTGTAACATTGACATTACATATTTTCCATTCGACGACCAACTCTGTGAGCTCAAGTTTGGTTCGTGGACGTTCAACGGATTACAAGTAAATATTGTGCAGATGACTGATGAAGCAGACCTTAACTTCTATATGAAAAGCTCCGAATTTCAGTTGATTTCGGCGAAAGCAAAAAGAAATGTTGTCAGATACAGGTAAGTGTTTATTATTGCGCAGTTGCTAGGCAAAATATCTTCACAGAATAGAATAGCCATATATAGCGCTTCAGTATAGTGAATTTCGACCTTAAAATCACGAAATCACAAATCGTATGCTTTTGCTTTAGGTACTACTGTGCCTATAGTTACAATAAATGGCTAACTTGCAATTGCATGGTTTAAAGTATGCATGCGTATGGGGAGAGTATAAAATCTTTAAAAATCTTGACAAAAATATTTTCATACCACTCCTTTTATCTTTCTCTCAGAATCTACTGCCTCTATCTATAATCTTTAATCTATTATTCATTATCTTCTTCCTGCTAAAAAGAGAGCCTGATTACACTGCGTAAAATAATGCATGCGTAGGCACCGAATTGCGGGTATTTAAATTAGTCATCAATTAAATCACACGGATTACCAATCAAACAAAATCAACCTAAACACTAAAACATCAATGGTTATTCTGAACTGCTTTGGTATACTAAACATAACTAAACAAGGATACTAAAGTTAACTGAACGCTATGAAACACAAGAAGCACCTAAACTATAAAACACTAAAATCTGAACTACTAAAACATCAACTAAACTAACTGATGATCGACAACTTTAAAACTAAGAATTAAATACGTACGTCCAATAATAAATTGGGAACAGTAAACGTAGCATCAATTTCTTCATAATTAATGACAAACAATAACCTAAACTATACTAAACTACTACAAAAACAACAATAAACAGCACCACGTTAACCAAATACCCTTGGTTCAAAAGTAGTGACAACTGAATATACATACTATCTAACCTTTGAGAACAAATAACCAGTTCGAGAACAAATAACTTTTGAGAACAAATAACCTTTGAGAACAAATACTGAAAGTGCAACAAAATATAAAAATGATTACCATTAACTAAAACTCAATAACTAAAACTCGTCGGATGTTATGACCAAGTTAACTAGAACTAAACGCTAGAACCGCGAATCACAGAGTTACAGCATCTTCAGACTTATTCACGTAATAAATAGAACTTTTTACCAATACTGCGGCCATCTTGAATTCTATTGTTTTAATCAAGATGATTATTAGATAACGAAGGGGCAATTGTTGGAAAATGTTTATGAAATAATTCAAGATGGCCGCCGTATAAGTAAAAGGTCTATACATAAACTATAAATGAACTACCAAATCTGACCGTTATGCACTAAACTGCTACTAAACTAAACATATCTTTGACAAGATTATCATGCTATGGACTAGTGTGACTTTAAGCAACAACGGAGCACAGTACTGAGGCAAACTACCCAACTTCTTTTTTGGGTGTTGAATGTTATTCTGACGTTCACAGAAAAAAAAACACCCTGTATAACTGAAAGCATTGGTTTATAATACTAAGGTTATTATTTTATTCTTATTTTGAGTCCTTTTTCATGTCCGCCTTGTCTTTGTATGACAAAACCTGTTTAACTGGTTGTCCAAGTGTATGTTACTTTATTTCTTCAGTTTGCAAAACCTTATCAACTGGTTAACTCTTGCATGCTTTTGGGTTGCACTTTGCATGTCTCTCAGTTTGGTCAAAACCTATTTAACACGGGGTTTGCCTTTGCATGTCTTTGATTGTAATTCTTGCAAGTAAATCAAAGTCAAGATCTGTTTGAGTGAGTGAGAAAGATGACTGAAAAATGACATTGAGAAGACCACGAAAGAAAGCAAATTACAGAATAATGACAACCAAAAAGACAAAAATATGCAAAAGAAATTAAGGCTGAATGCCGTAAATGTGAGCTGAGCGTTGTGCGCATTAGAACATTGAATGTAGTGGTAGTGCGTGTGAGCGAAAAGTGTCCCCAATTAGTGCGAAAGCGCTAGAACGACTAGACTTAAATAAAAATGATTTATTTTAATTTATTTATTTGAAAACAAAAGCTTGACTTGATTAAAACGACAGGAGAGAACGAGTGAAGAGAGGAGTGAAGAGACACATAACGGGATATGTTGAACGACATGACCAACGATCATTGTTCCATTCATTTTGTTTTAGTTGTTGTCCTGAACCATATCCTGATGTGACATTCTACCTTCACCTTAGACGAAAACCAGGCTTTTTTCTTTACAACATAATCATTCCCTGTCTGGTCATCACTTCACTTGCCGTACTGACATTTTTACTTCCGCCGGAAATTGGCGAGCGAGTTACACTCGTCATTGAGTCATTCCTTGCCTTGTCTTTCGTTATCTTGATGGTTTCTTCAAGTGTACCTGTGACATCTGATAACACTCCATTGATCATGAAGTTTCTATTGATATCGATGTGCCAGATAGGTTGTGCTCTAATTGCGAACTGTATCTCTTTGAACCTGTATAAGAAAGAAGAAATGCCCCAATGGGTACGAGTGGTATTCCTTCACTATCTTGCACGGTGCCTCTGCATCAGTACTGGACACCCCAAGGGTGGCGTTAGTCCCAAGAAATCCAAAGACGAAGATACACAGGACAAAAAAGTGCTCGCCTCAATGATTCACAAGAACTCTTACAATTCTATTGATGGACCAGTTTCTCCTCTGCTTCCCCGGAAGACTAGCGCTAACTCGGATCATCAAATGAGTAAAGCGGCTGATGGTATTGCTGCTGTTGCTGAGACGGTCCTTAAGGAAGAAGATTTTGAGAAAGACAGGGATTTCTGGATCTTCACATCGATTGTTGTTGACAGATTACTTTTGATTATTTTTACTCTTACATTCATCACGAGTTCTTCATTTATCTTTTCCATGGTGCCTGATCATTATGGAATTTTCTAATGAAGAGATTGACATCGAATTAAACTTCTTCAAGCGTTCCCTTGACTTAATTCCATCTTCAAGAAAGCGCTGTGGGAAACGCTTCTTCACTCCAAGTTGTCATCCTATGTTGCCGACGAACGTCATCCAAGAGGTTAATTGGCATAACCTTAGTCAGACCAAGTTAAGAAACACTAGCTGAGAAAACGAAGGAAAGAAAACCAGAACAACTGGAAAACTGCAGACAAGTGGAAGTTGCCTCAATATCCCAACCTATACAATAGCTACAATAGTGCATTACTCCTACCTATATAACCCTAACGAGCGCCGACAGAATGAGTGACAATGACAGTATTGTCAGACTAATAAGTGACAGTGACTGACTACAAAGGTAGTGTCGTCAGACTGATAAGGTTTTCTAGAGATATTTTTCAAGTTTTTGTTTTTGCTTATGTGGCTAAGTTAGCTAATGAATACTGATGCGGTTGCCATGCTACCTACGGCTTCAACGATGCCGGCAGACACCAAAGTAAGGAAGTAGGACGCTAACTCAATAAAATAGAATATTCATTCTTTCTCTTTTTCTTTTTATGCAGTTTCTTGATATACAAATAATATACTGGTAGGGGTAATAGCGTATGGCATATTAAAAAAAATCAGATGTTTACCTACCGACAATAATACAAATGTCGTATCATCTTTTCCTTAAGACGACTTCTTCATGTCATGCAAGATATTCAACTTCTAATAATGCGATTTCATCATCATTAAGAGCGGGTCTTTTTCATGGTTTTCCTATATAAGTCATTTTTATCCAGTAACAATTAGAAGACATTTATTTTTTCTCTTTCTTTTCTTTGTTTCGTATCGGAATTTTTCCAAAAATGGATGTATCTTGGACAGCGCTTTAATCCTCAAGTGAACTGCTTCTTAGTCGAGTTCCTTGTACAATATTTGCCTACAAAACGAACACAATTAATTTCTTTTGTAGATTGTTTCAGTGCTTTAATACTTTAATATTCTAGAGTTACTCATGTCATCCGACAGCATTGCGTTCTTTAAGCATTCATTTCTTAGAATGCACCCATTTGACTCAAGATCTCTTGAGATATATATATAATAACTGAACGTTAAACAGTCGCCATGTTGGTTGTTATCGTCAACATGGCGGCTAGGACGTAACAAGCAATAGAACAGCTGGTATTTACTTTAGTGTTTAGAGTGCTAAAATCTAGGTGGCTTTTTAGATGTGTTATACAACATTGATACGTTTGTGTGTGAAAAAATGCCAGTAATAAAATTGGGACATTTTAAAAAGATTGAGTAGTAAAGTTGTTTTAACTGTACGAAAATTTTGCTATTGCAAAGTCATGAGGCAAGTGTAATCGCTAGCTTCAATTCCACAGAATTATCTCACCCAAAAATAACTTCCAAAAATTATCAATTAACCCTACTGACATTGACTCTGACATTCACATAGGTAGCTTGGCGCCTCTTCATTTAACAAAAAACGTCTGATAGACAGCGCGCAAGACAATTGACCTGACGGACTGACCAACGGCGATATATAGACTTCCTCTTTAAAGATTAAATTTATTATTATAACTGCTCCAGATAAACAAACTAAAAAAAAAAACGAACGGACGAAAAATAGAAAAAAATAATAAAAAAACAGAAAAAAGA